AAGTATTGGGAGCATAAGCTTTCATGGGTAAGAACCTCACTTCTTCAAATGTAAATAACAGAACTTGCATCTGAAGAAGTGAGGTTCTTACCCATGAAAGCTTATGCTCCCAATACTTCTGTTAGTCTTAAAGGTGCCACAGGACCCTCTGTTGCTTTTTACAGATTCAGACTAACACGGCTACCCCAATGATGGTGAAGTAATTAATCCCACATCATTCAGGGACCTTGCTGCACTAGACTTTTTTAAGCTTTTGTCCAAACTTGTATCTCTCCCTGGAGCCCTTACACCACGAGAAGTATGTTCCTCAACCACCCACCTTTTTTGTTGTTGTTGTTGTTAAAGAAAATGTATTTCCTACATGAACATGTAGTCTATATTTTCATGTATTTTTCTCTAGTCCAGTGCATTTCTGTGGAGTTAAGACTTGTCATTTTCATAATAAATGTTTATTGCTCTTTAAAATGGTGGCATCTGTAAAAACACTTACTGTTGTACCATCAGTGCTGAAGCAGGATATAGTCCACAAGTAGTTCACCACATAGTTCAACAAATAAATTCTTTGATAGTTTCTGTATTTTGTCACATTGATCCCTAATGTCATGCACACAAGTTCCAAGAAAGCCAATACTGAATTTCAGTACTGTAGCATGTTTGTTATATTCATGAATGGTGGTGACGTAGGTACAGATCCAAAGGTGCCAGTCTTATGACCGAGGGAACAGAATTTACAATCTTCTTCTCTAATACATAGGACTTTGCCACTTGAATGAATGAAGAATTTCCCTTGGCTGATAGCTATGATGGGATGGGGGTAATCCTCATGTCAGTCCTTGATTCAGTCAGTAGAGAATGAGACAATATCAAAATAATAAACATTTGAGTAGGTCTGATATAATCCATCCTGTAGAGGTAGAACACATAAACCAGTACTTTAATTACTCGACGACACATGTAGGGCTGTGTGAATGTATGTATTTAATCAGGTGATGTTATAGCTCTGATTTAGCGTTGATTCATTTGATTAGGTTTTTGTACAATACCTGAATATATATTTTAAATGCATTGGTTGAAGTTTGTTTTTGTTTTTCTTTTGATTGTAAATTACCTCCATTGAATTTCATACATATTGGTTTATGTCATGGGCATTGCAAGCAACAGCAGAGATAGTCACTGCTTCCAGCTTCTCAGCTGTTCTCCTCTGGGAGTGAAGGTGCTCTTTCTGTCTTTCAGCAGAGAACAACTGAATAGGCATAAAAGTTTGAGGAGTGTTATAGCAGCAGGCAATACATTCTGTAGGTATCTCAGATGTAAACTTGTTTTGGGCATTCATGGGTTTGGAGGTCCATGGGAGGGGAGGGCATGGAGAAAGAAGAGACTTTAGAAAGGCTTAAGAGAAGAGAGTGTTTGGGGGAGGTTAGCTCAAAAGGGAGGCATTTTACAAAGGAAAAGAAAAACAGTTAAGAAACAGGTGGGTATATATAGAAAGAATGATTAATGAAAAAACTGGCAAGGAAAATGCTGAAGCGACAGAGAATCAGAAAAGGTATTTTGGACTAAGAAAGAAATCAAGAATAGGCTTGGCAAAACCATCACTTGAAGTGAACATATAGCAAATCTAGTCTGAAGAAAACTGAGACAGGAAATGTTGAGGAAAGAAAAAGTTGAACAAAGAAAACTTTTTTTTTAAAGGCAGTCCTATTACATTTTATTTGGTAAAACGTTGGCTACCAAAGGGTCATTAAACCACCAATACATTTTCATTGTTGTGGGTAACAATGCAAAATGTTAATCTCATTTGATTTTAAATTAAAGAATTTGCTGTTGGTTTTTGGTCTGATAGCATTGTCATGGCAAAAGCAGGAAAAGAACCTTGAATTGATCTGCTACCCATGTAACTGTAAAATGGTTTTGGCATTGTTTTTTATGAGGAAAAAAGATTAATTGTATTACAGTACTTATTGTATCTTTTTGCTGGTTAGAAAGGGGTTTTTCTTGAATTGTATTAGAACCATTTGACCCTGAATATATGTATACTAGATTTTCAGATTATAGTTAACTGGCAAGATTTTAGGGGATGGTTGATATTGGCTCTCCTTCTCTTAAACTAGTATCTTCCTACAACTGCTCCCTCAGTGTTTTGAGGTAGCTTTCTAGAGATTCCCACTAATTCATATTTTAAACTAATCTTCTCCAGTGTAGGCAATGTATTGAGAGCCTTGTGATTGAGCTGTGCATCCAGAAAGTGAGAACACATAATGCTGGCAAGATCTATTATTTATAACAGAGCTTACAATAGAATATATAGATTTTCAAATATTTGAATCAGCATAAATGGGTGCTCAGTTTACCTTTCAAAAAACTGTGGCTTTCTCCGTGTTTCTCATGGGCTTTAAAATATGTTAACAAAAGCATATTGCAACCTATTTATTAGGTTAATAGGGCTAGAGCATAACTAATTTTAGGCTTATTTCTCTAGCAGTTGCACAAATTAATAAGTTATATTGCTCCCTCACATGCTACCCCTTATAAATGTTCATTGTTTCCAAACCTAGCACCTGCTAGGAAGCAGCATTTGACTGGTTCACTGTATCATTATATAGCACTGTTTTGAGTACATGGCACTGCACACTAAGGGATGGGAGTTGTGCCAGACAAATTTATCCAGATCCCTGCCACAGAAGGCTAACTATCTCTGGGTACAAGGTGGTAAAATACAGTAAAATGTAATATAAACCAGGACTTATGAACAGTGTGGTATGGTATCTATAAAGTGAAGAAAGAGTCTTCTAAGGGGAAGCCTCTGCTAGTACAGACTGTATCACAAAATACTGGACCATGACACAAGTTGTGTTTGAAGCCTGTCTCGGTGAAATAGCGATCATTTTATGTGATAAATGTGCTTCACATCATGATATCTAGAGCTATAGACACAATTGTAAAGCAAGTTTCAGAACATGGCTGCTACTCTGAAATTGTAAAGCAATGTCTGTTCAAAAATATTACACTCTCTGTGTATTTTCCAAGTGGGATTGCTTTCGGTTGTTCTAATATATCCTGAAAAGAAAGGGACAGTAGCTATTTCAACATTCTCTTCACTAGTTCAAGCTGGTGAATCTTGGGTAGGAATGGAGTATCATCATTTTCCATCTCTTCTCTCCCACTTTGAAATATTTCCATGAAATGGAATTGGATTCCACTTCAAATAAGCTATTTTAAAAATGGATAACAAATACATCACATTGATATGGCAGATAAATATTCAGTCGCTTGGTTGCACAACGCTATCGTAATCTCAGTATTTTACACTAATTTCATTTTACGTAGGAGACACAATTAGAGTATTAGTAAATATAACACTCAAAATGCTACATTTAGAACAAAATGTCTTATTAGGAAATATACATAATCATTTAAAAGAGCTAAATATGGAGTAATGGACAGCCTGGGTTCTGTAAAGATAAACAAGTCTACGAACTTCTATAGTTGTATAGTGACCCGTCATTTCCAAATGAGTAACAGTGACTTGAAAGAAGACTGGCAAGTATTTTTGTTTGTTATTGTTAGCGTCGTATCAGGACTGACTGTGCTATTTTAATCTGTGTTCCAATAATTTTACTGGTTACATTATAGGAAAGATGCAACACTATGTCAAGTGATATTGATTAGTTGGGGTTTTTTAATCCTTGTATCAGAGCTTAGAAGGATGTTTCCATCATATTCCCCACCAATAATCATTAATAAAAATCAGTCTAATTGTATTCAGATAGCACAGAGGAAACTGGGAATCAAGATTAGTTTTCACTCAAAACAGTCTTCTTCATAAAGCAGATTCACCTATGATAGAGAAAGGGAGGCACCTAGTGGTATGAGATTTAAGTTGCAGCCAAAATGGAAGTTGGCTCAAAGGCTCCAAACCATTGACAACAGAACATCTATAGTAAAGAGAAAATTATAACCTTTTTATCATAAGAATAGCTGTAAATTAGCTAGTGTAACTACATCCAGAATTTTCCCCGTTAGAATTGACAAAAAAATAAACTTGACCCTCTGCTCCTATACCAATATGGAGGTTAGTGTCTAATGTTTCACAAATAAAGACGTGTTGCATATGATTTTACTGTTTTATATTACTTTAATTAGCAGATGGCACCTTTCAATGTGCTTGAATTGCTTCTGAAGCAAAATATTTAACTTTTACTAACTACAGAAAATGCTACTAGATGAATAGGGCTATTTACTGAACTGAAAGCTTATCAAGTGTCACTATTTTAAGCTTGACAATGCATGGTTAAAGAATGAAGTGGTGGGGATGACAATAGGGATTCCCTTATCTACTGCAGTTCATTCAGTAAGTGAAAACATGCACAGTTTAATTGTTAAAGCTTGGGGATTGTTAGAGTTTTGTATTTTGATAGTTCTGACTGTATCTGTGTTCTTGAAATATTTGAAGTTCTGTAGGTTTGACTTTTACAGTCAAAACTGCCCATTATCTTCAGTTGAATAGCACATTAACATCATTGGTAGTATTCACAGATGGCCATTAAGTATGCTGTTCATAAAATCTCTCACATTGTACCCAAGTGTTGGGTATATGGTGACAAAAAAATTGAAGTATAAGTTATCTGAACCAGAAAAATATAAAATAGATCACTTCTTGCAACCCCCTCCTAAACTGCTTTATATGGCTCCACAGCTAACATGGGAGTGTTTATAGATTTCACAGGAGCAATAGTGGAAGTTATCTGTATATTCATCCCCTGTGCATCAATAAAGAATGTTGTGAGAGCATTTGTCTTTATCTGATGGCATG